GAGAGAGAGAGAGAGAGAGAGAGAATGAATTATATAATAGAAAGGCATCAGTCTTGGGCTGGAGATATAATTCAGTGCCAGAGGACCTGCCTACCATGTGTAAGTTGCTGGGTTTGATTTCAAGTGCTACAACAACAGAAACAAAGCTAATGAGAAACTATCAATAATTTCACAAATGACTATGTGAATAAAATACTGTTAACTTTGTAGTCATATAATCTGAAAATCTGTTTATACTATTTATGTGACAAAAGAAATTGTAGTGCCAGGCATGGTAGCACATTTCTGTAATCCCAGTGCTCAAAAGGAGAATGAGGCAGGAGGACCCTCATGCGTTCAAAGTCAGCCTGGGCCACATAGAGTTCAAGGCCAGCCTGAACTATACAGCAAGACATTCTCACAAAAACACAAATGGGGCAGGGCCATACGGGGTATGTTAGTGCTTGCCTATAATCCCAACACCTAGAAAGCTAACGCAGGAGAATAAGCACAATCACCAGGTTTGAGGTCAGCCTGAACTATAAAGCGAGCTCAAGGCTAGAGGGAACTACACAATGAGACGCTATTTCTAAAACAAAACAAAATATTTTATTTATAATCTCCCCCTTTGTTTTCCATGATGCTCAAAATATTTTTTTCCCTATTAACTCACAGAAAAGGGGTTAATTTATACCATTTTTGGGTGGTACTGGGTACTGAACCCAGAGCCTTCAGAGTTAATTATATTCCCCAGCAGTTTTTTGAAATAGGGACTCAATAAATTGTTGAGGCTTGGCTTGAATTTACCATCCTCCTACTTCAGCCTCTCAAGAATGCTAGGGCAGACTTCCTGCTACCTCATGCGTCACCCTCATGGCCCAACTGGTGCTGCCCCTCCTGCCTGCAAGTCCAGGTGCTATGGCTGATCCCCACGTGAGGCTGATCAAAATCAAGACCAGTGTGGTGAAGCAACTAATTAAAAGAAAAAGTGATTTATGAAAAAGCAAAACAAGACTGAAAAAAAAGAAAAAGAAAAAGAAAAAGCTAAAGATGGTGAAAATTATGCCATCAAAATGTAGGCAGAGGGGCTGGTGAGATGGCTCAGTGGTCTAAAGCGCCTACTTAGAACAAACTTAGCAAAGCACATGGACCATGGTTCAATCCCCCAGCACCACCACACGCCAGCCAGCCCGCCCCCTGGTGGGCTGAGCTGACCGCTGACCACACACACACCCACACACACCCACACACACACAAAATAAAATTTAAAAAAAAAATGTAGGCAGAGCTAGTAGTGAGACCCTGAACCCTATAGACCCTTCCCTAAAAAACATTAAAAAAAGGCAGGCAGAGATCCTGCAAGAGTCCTGGATGACGATCCTAGATTGCCAGTACAGGTTAGAGGCAGTATGTGCTGACCTTCAGCAGATATTAGAAAGTGAAAAAGACTTGGAAGAAGCTGACGAGTATAAAGAAGCATGTATAGTTTTGAATTCAGTGAAGCAAACTGAAATTTTTCTCTACAGAGTGTTTTTGCATTAAATCCTGGGGTGTTTGTGTAGTATGAGAATGAGATTTTTTTAACAGTTGCAAATATTTTTCTTTGCATAATTTAATGTGTCAAATAAATGAGTTCATCTAATTTTTTTCCATAATTTTATTGAAAGACAAACAGCAATGAGTGTTTCAAATCAAATTGGTAGGGCAGTTTCAATAATTAACACATTGTATATTCTCTTCCTAGTGGTTATTTGCTATACAAGATGCAGACATGATATTCATCTAAAATTTTTTAAGGGCTGGGGAGATGGCTAAGTAGAATAAGTGCTTCCCTGTCAAGCGCAAGAGCCTGAGTTCAATCCCCAGTTCCGCCAAAAAATAAATAAAAATAATTTTTTTTAAAAAAAGTGCTGGGAATGTAGGTTATGAGCTACCATTCATTAAGTGGGTTTCCTTTACATCTAGGTTGTATATTAATTATATTAGATTTTCTTCTATTCTTTATACTAACATTGGTGAATTAAGAACACTGTAAGTCCAGTGATTTCAAATGTCACTCTCCTATAGATGTACAACATTTTCATTTCTACATAAAACTACATAAATAGGCCGGCCAGATAGCTCACCAGACTAAAGTGCTTGCTTAGGCAGAGCGCAGTGGCCAGGGTCTGATCCCCTTCATGCTGTGCTGGCTCCACCCCCGTGACGCACTTTTGGCAATTTAGACTGGGCATGGTGGTACACCTGTAATCCCAGTGCTTGGGAGGCTGAAAACAGGAGAATCACTAC